TCTTCTACCTACGAACGTTGTCTTATGCTGCCTGATGATGTAGCGCTGTAACAACACTTCTGTTTCACCACAGTAGTTACCAAAATTTGCAGCTTGAAATGAAAAATGTGCAGAATTTTTAAACCCAAATTAAACAATGACACCTAATTCCTAAGCTTACGTGCCCTCAGCAGGTGTAATATCCACCTACAAATGTTGTCTTGCTTATGTCCTCCGATCATTGCAGGTACGATGCTATGAATCTTCCATGCTCTTGAGTTATATACAATTGAAATATGACACAGTGCATTTCAATGGTTGGCTATTTGGAGAGAAATTTTTGATCAAATCCTAGACTCTTACAGGGTAGAAAAGAGATAGGAATGTCCAGAATGTTTAGATAATAGAATCACTGGTCAGTGTTTTTCAAGATCAGCCCCCCAAACTGGTAGATTCAGAAGCCTTTTTAATTCTACTAAAATGTTGTGGCTATTAAGCCCCGTATCTACTTAATAAGTAAGTACAGAGTATTAGTACTCTTCCGGAATGGGTGTACTTTTCCATAAAATTATTTGCTGTCCTAGCCTCAGACATTTTACTGTGGAAGAATAAAGAATAAAGGCAATTGAGATCAAACATAAATGCACTCTTGCATTTTCTCCATCACTTTCCCTCCGTCTCAGTAATACACACCCTTCTTGCCCTGTAAAAAAGCAGTTCTCGTTTTCATGTAAGGGTAGCAATTGTACTCCTGCAGCTGCTCTGCATCTTGCACTGTTTGCTTAACTATAAATGGAGAAAAATACCAGTCTTCATAAAATCCTTCCACAGAATCATTACATGAAAAAATCCTCCTCTTTTTAAAACTTTTTTCTTTCTAAGGCTGCAAAAGCTTGTGTTTGACATAGCAGCCAAAAGGTGAGACAAGACTTGCAGAGTCCTACGTAATTCTGTTTTGCTGCAGGCTAGAGAAGAGCATTAGAGAAGTACCAGGGTACTGCAAATTACTGCACAATGTTATAACCATGTTTAAATGAATTCTAACACTTCCCTACTTTGAAAAGTAAAAAAGACTAGATATAAAACTGCATATTGAGGTGGCATGATGTGTGTTTATTAACCACAGGGTGTTGCTGGATTAGATCAAACTCACTCAGGTGCAAAGATGAACCAAGAATAGGTTTATGGTCCTGGATCCGTGAAACTTACTTAAAATTAAGTACACAAATCCTATTTGCAGTGAATCTCAAGTGGTTGGACAGTACAGAGGCATCAGTCTCGGTTATCTTTCGGCCCATAAAACTCAGTCATGCATGAGCCTCTGCTCATGCTCTTATATGTACAGATTTCAGCTGAGATTCCGCTGCTATAGAGGAGTTACAGAGATGAAGTCTGGCAAAAAGAGCTAGAAAATAGTAGGGTAAATTAAAGTAAGGAAAAATGTACTCCCCATAATGGTAGTAGTTAATATGTTAAATGCTCCCTGAGGAATGGCTGAGTCGATCTTTAGTGGCTTATAATAAAAGCAGAGAAACACAAGGAGGATGGAAAAGGGCAAAAAGCGGAGTACTGAAGGGACAAACAATGAGTTTCTCCAATACTTGTGTTCTTCCCAAAGTTTAAATCTTGGTTCCAATTTTTGGAAAGCTTTCATCTTTACTTTGGCCTATATGGAGTGGCAGGAATTTATGCCTTCCTTTTCCTTCTCTGCTCTCTCTGTAGTCTATGAAAAGACAAGTTACGTTTTTCTATAGGCATCGAAGTGTCTGTGAAGTGTGTCTATTTCAAAGAGCTGAGAAAGTGCTCTTAATTTCAAGTAATTGGGACGTTCACATGCTTCAACATGCTTCAGGCTTCTTTGTGGTACCTCTTCATTGGTAGGAAAGCCTTACTTCTGCCTGAGGGTGCCACAATAACAGCAACAGTAAAACAACGATCCTTGTGATGACACCTTCTGCCGAATGTAAAAATTGAGGTCGTGCTCTATTTCGGATTTTTGATTCTTTCATCTCTACCTGAATTCTTTAATAATAGAAAGGTCAAGTGGTTTTCTCTAGGCTTTAGCAAATAACTATAACCATTATCGTCTTTGTGATCACAGAGTTATTGTTAAAAGCCCAGACGCAGCTGTTTATACAGTTATTCTAAACCCTCTTCTGCTGTTTAAACTGTCAGCAATTTATTATTTTTGCAATATAAAGCACCACGCGTCCTAATGACTGCATTAGCTGCTGTGCAAACATATGGGAAGATGGTTTCTGCCTACAGATGTGTGACCACTGAAGAGTAACATCAAGGGCAAAGTTTGGAAATAAAATAACACCTCCGATCACGGGGCTGACAAGAGAAAAGTCACAAATTGCTTATGCGCAAACACATTAAGCGCTATGTAATTTAGAGAGGTTGGTTTTTTTTTTAGAAATCTAAAAAAAATTATATGTTGCCAATTGTCATTAGAAGAAAACGTTGTGGGTAGCACAAGTGACCTGGTATTTTAAGAGTTGAAAGGTGATTCGAGAAGCAGCTTTACAGGGGTGAACCATGCCTGCACGGAGGACCTCTAACCAAAGTCAAGAGTTGAAGTGTATCAAGCTAAATATGCTCTTCAGCAAGAAGAGGGGTTTTGTTTGCTGTTAGCCTTCAGCTTGAACCCGAACGCGGCCGGGCAGCGCTGGGCCGGTCCCGCTCCTCGTCCTGTTAAACACCTTGCAGCAGCGGCTGTGCAGTTGTGCCATTTTAATGTTTTTTTTTCTTTTTTTTTTACGTTCCCTTTGCATCAAAATAAGGATTAAAGGCAACGGCAAACTGGATTTTGCCCTTCAGCTGAAGCGGCAAAATGTCTTTACAAGGAACATGTAACAACAGCTGTGTACGGCAGAAACCCGT